CAAGGAATTCTTTGATGACACGATGCTTATATTCGAAGCAATCAGAAACTAATAATTATTTATTCTCGAAGTGATAAAAGTCATAATAAATAATCGTCATAACAGGTATACAATAAAAAAGTAAGACTCTAACAGAATTTGCATTTCTTAACTGTGTATCCACTATGAAAGCCAGACGAAAAAGTATGATCTTGCATATCAGTCTAAACATATACGTACGTACTATATGTATACAGTGTTCTGTCGAACTACGCGTAGGTTGCGTAGTTGGGAACCATCCCCCGATTTTACGGAAAACTGAAGTCTGATCATCTGCACTGCGTGTCAATTGTCGTATATTGTCGTTAGAATAATAACAAACAAAGAAGCTCGTGTGTAAAGACTTAGTTGTTTACTAAGAGACAGTGTTTTTCCAGAAAAGGATAGAATATGTATATGTCTCAGGGAGACAACAGTAAAAAAAACTAATTTGTTGTTGTTTCATAGCTATAACACATCTTATTACAAGAAAAATAAACTTAGGATACGATAAAACGAAATTGTAGCAGTAATTGATCTAATTAGCTATACGTAGGCTCTCCTCTATTTGAATTAACTCAATCATTTGATTGTGTACGTATATATACACACATACATATTATTCACGCATACACATACTGTGAAACTGTAGCTGTTTAGCTCGCAGAGCACGCTTCTTGCTTGATTTTTCTCCCAAACTGAGCTGTTCGTTGTATACTTGAATTCGGTGCACTAGGTTCTTGTATGCAGCGGCACTTAATTCACACGAACGAATATGCTAAGACGTAAATTGATTTGAAATCCACGCACAATTGAAACCGTTTTATTCGAGGGAGCATTGAATTTTCTACAAACTATGATAGCACGGTACAAACGTCGTTCGTCGACGCACTCGTTCGGTAGGCCCGTAAGCACTAACTGCGTACGTGACGATCTTCCCGATTTCTACTCCCTGTTACACGAAGCATTTCTGGGAAAAATTCTAGACGTGTTAGTGACCCTCAAGTATGTACTTGGGTCTAGTCAACCTCACGTACCAAACATTGCGCGAGGCTCGCGATGTTTTTTTCTAGTGAAACATAAGAAACTCGAGCAAAACATAAGAAATTCGAGCCGAACATAAGAAACTCGGGCCAGAGTCGTTGTCTGTACTATGTATATCGAACTAAACACGAAGCTACGTGCCAATTTGGAAGTAAAACTATCGCGAGTTGCTCTCGAGAGTATTTCTCACGAATGGACACTACGCCTGAGATTGACTGTCCGAGAGCATAGCTCAACTGTCTGAGAGTAAACGTGTCCAGACTTGCTCTCGAATAGATACAAATTCATATTGCTGTCGGACAGTTGCTTTGCAAAGACGAAGTAGTTTCGTATTCTTGTGAGAACTCTAGTACGAGTAAAAAATGTCACGAAAAAAAGATTGATCGAGAAATGAGACACGCTTCTGGTTTGATTTTTCTCCCAAGCTGAGCTGTTAGTTGTGTACTTGAATTCGGTGCACTAGCTTCTTGTATGCAACGACACTTAATTCACACGAACGAATATGCTAAATACGTAAATTGATTGGAAATTCGCGTATAATCGAAAACGCGTTGTTCGATGTATTCCCTACAAGACTATAATCGCGCAGTATAAGCGACGTTCGTCGTTCGTCGAAGCACTCATTCGACAGCCACGTAAACACTCACGAACACTGTTCGCGCACAGAAAAGCGTTAGCGGGAAAAGGATTCTCTGATTTTATATTACTTTTATTGGCAAAACCGAGAACAAACGTCACGCACGTGGTCTTAATACAATACAATACGCCATACTTTTTTTCGCTCGACGCATGCGCGATCGTCGCTCGGTGGACGCATGCGCGATCGTCGCTCAGTGGATGCACGCCGATCACGGTAAAAAGACGCGCCCCTTTTAAATTCAAACCGTTACACTGTCCTTTTTAGAGTAAAACTATCGCGAATTGCTCGCGAGTGGACACTGCGTCTGAGAATTACGACTCGAATAAACAATTGCTTTGCAAACACGATACTCGTAGGATACACGATACCCAGAGGGGATACTCATAGAAGGAAGTTTTCAATAATTCAAAATTGAACATATTGTACCCGTTGAACTCGTATTAACATACACTATCATATTATGTATAAAAAAATATAGCATTCCATTTAAAAAAATTAAACTGACTTTGAAATTTCCCCCACCATACCTGGTACAAAAGAAATATTTATACCACACAATGTCCCCCTCCGTACCAAACAACTTTTGTTAAAACATTTCTTCCCTAACATCACTTCCTTAAAAGATATTTCGCTGTATTGAGACACCCTGTATAACTATAATACCCGCAGTTCACTTTGTATTCGTGAGAAACCGAGTGACCGCGGGTACGCGTAG